TTTGTCAGAAAAAGCAATTGAATTAATTTTGCAGCTGCTATTTTATGACCAGATACCATAATTCTTTTCTTGAGACTGCTCAGTCTCCAAGAAATGAAGTGTGATTTTTACAGTTTATATGGCAATGATTTATATGAGGGTCATGGCCTGTCACATGACAACACCTGACCCCACATAGCATGATGTAAGTGTAAGAATCACACTCTTTCTTAGGGTCAGCAGCTCCATGACACAGATCCCTGTGTTCAACCCACCACCCACAAAGTGGGGGAAATATGTCTTTTCCTTTTTTAAAAAAATTTCTCCTTTTTTGTCGGCTCCCTGAATTACTTTCAGGTAGTTCTGCACATTTCTACTTTTTCCTTTAATTAGGTGCAAACACTCTGTATAAATAAAATAAAAAGTTCTCTGCAGCTAGTAGACTGTTGCAGACTGCCAGACACTGAAAAATGTTTGTCTGTGTTGCCATTGCCTAATAATTCACATTTTATAAACAAAGAAATCTTTCTCTCCCACTTTTTTCTCTCACATTTCCAGTTAGCTTTTGGGGGTTAGAAGCTTGGATCCAGCTGCAGAATAAGTTTGGATCCCAGTATACAGTAGGTGTACTATCCATGGAAACAATAGATGTACAGTACTACCAAGGTTCCCTGCCTGCCTTTCAGTCACACAGACTCCATATCCTTTAGGAGATGTCATTGCAGTGCTTGTGTGTAAATGCTGTATAATCTGTTAGGTATTTTAGATCCCTTTACGTGGTCCTTGGGAAGCCAAGTCATAATTCTTTCCGTCCTTTTTCTAGCAGGGGCACAAGGCATAGGCTTCCCCCATTACAATTACATGATACTATGGAAGTATCTATAAAGAACTCATGTTGATTCAATAAGAGTATATCAGAACAGTAGGTAAAGTTGGTTATCTCTGTTTATATGTGAAGAGAGAGAGTCTGGAGAGGCTCTGCAGGCTTAGGAGTTGATGTGCTACTAAACTGCAGAACTGAAACACTCTTGGTTTCCACAGTCCCCCATTATCTACAGAGAGCCATTGTCAACATGTCTGGCCCATAGGAAACCAGTTATTTGGTTGCATTTGTACATGGATCAACTGGTATATGAAAGTTGGGAAATGGGAACTCATACCTGGGCATGGTATCACTGCAAATAGCTATAGAGTTATCCTATAGTGCCATAATTCTGTGTAGATGCTGCAGCTGAGTGTAGGGCGCTGAGAAAACTATATGCCTCAGTTATTTGTGCACTTAGCTCCTTTCAACTTCAGCTCAAGACAAGACTTCAGAACTTCCAGACTGTATTACAAATTCTAGTAACCATGCTGGTTAGAGCAATTTAGTTGTCACCTTGCTCTCCTTCTGGATCTCTTTCTTAAAAAGAAAGTAGTGAAAATTTAGGATGATAAGTAAACCTGAAACATATATCCCATTTAAATTCAGTTCTTCAAGCTAAATTGTGCAGACTGTCAACATCTATTGAAGCTATTGCATTATGCAGAGAATCAAGTGAAACAGAATTGCATGCTTTAGTGATGGAAGAGAGAGGTATCTTTTTCTGAACATAAACTTTATTTCTATTGTGCTTTACTCTGATATGAAAAGTGACCATTTCTGTGACTTTCCAGCATTCTTTCTTCAAAGATCAGTTTGTTGGCCAGCTGCAGCACTTTAACACATCTCCCCACATCTCCCCAGCTTGGCTTGAGATAGCAAATGTTTCGAAGTGTCAATGTGTTCAAGACTTTAGGACCCTAGTCCTTATCTTGAAGAGGCTCAAGATCAGTGTTAGGATCTGCAGAATTGGAGCAATGTTTACAGTATATAAATTCTCAGTGTCAGAAAGTAAATATTCCTAGTAGTGGATATGAAGAGACCAAATACAATAATATCTACTGTAAATAAATATGTTGCTGTTTGCAAATGTGTCTTTATTCACTTTAATTTTTTTTAGATGTTTTATTTAGTCCTAACAATACACTCTAACTTGTATGACATATTCCAGATGTAAATGTGCACAGATGCTGTTCAGGTTGTAGATGTCCAAACCTTTATTGTGTGCTGCACAGCACACAAGTGTCTTTTGTGTGTGCATTCATATGTGTGCGTACATGCTTTATAGCCCAGTGCCTTCCCCATGTCTTACTCACTGCATAAAAGTTTGCACACAATGAAACACTGTTTTATAAAATATCCCCACTGGCACCTTCGCTGCTGCCAAGGCAGGCACGATCTATCAGTGGTGTAAAGCTGCAGGCACAATTAATCTTTTGTAATCTGTCATAATACATTGTATTTGATACACTGAACAGTCTGACTGATGTGTTACTATGGTGCCATGAATGCCAAAGGTTCTGAGCAAAAGGTTATATCTGCTTTTAAGCATCTTAACTTCCAGATCTCATTCTGAGATTTTGGTTCCAAGAAGGATTTGATTCTAAAAGCAGGATTTTTTTTCCTCGATTAATGTTGATTTCAATGCAAAACCATGCATATCTTCTAAGTATAAAACCTACTCTGCTGAGCTCTATAAAAATCTTCCAAAATACACTAAGGCCAGGAATTTTTGCTGGAATATAAGACTGGAAGGACAACTCTTTGGCAGTGAAATACTTACCTTCCAGGAATTCATAACTGGTAAATATCCTTACCTTTCCACACTTACAAACTTCCTTTACAATTGAGATGGGGTGGCGGGAAGAAACCAGGTCATTCTACAAATTGTTCATGCCTTCAAAAAGGAGCAGATCTTGTGGTCTTGTGGTAATTCTTTAAAATCAGTAAGATGTTCTACTCAAGAATACAAGCTGAGATTTTCCAAGACAGAAGCCAGAGTGGCAACATGCCTTTACTTATATCAACACAAGGAAATGAGCCAATTATAGAAAAACTAACCCAACAGACCTTAGGAATTTTAGATGGAAATCCGGAAGATACTGCCGTTTCCTCCACCTGCTTTGGCCAAACTCATGAAGGCAGCAAAGAGCCAACAAAGTCATCATCCCTATGACAAGTGTCAGGGAAACCTGGAGCTATTGCTGTGGTCATGGTAGGTCTCTGCTAATGTCTGTGAGTCTTGCTGTAATTACTTACTCAGTTTCATGGAATATCTTTGCTGCCTCTCTAAAGGTGTCCACCACTTTTTAAAATAGGGACAGAGCAATTGGTCTATCAGAGGGTTAAAACTGCCATTAGCTATGTTGCTGGTAAAAGAAACATAAATTCAACGCATGTTACAGTTTTCTGTTTCCCTTTCTGTTATGTTGTATGTTCATTCCTGTAACACAGAGCATGGAGTTTCTGTTGAAATGAAATGCTCTTTTGTAGTTGTGTTATGCCAACCATCCTATGTTAAGGATGAAGTGAAAAAGAAACTTCCCATCCTTCTAATTTTGCAGGGGAACTTTACAAGTTAGGCTGGCAAGGCAATGCGAAAAAAAAACCCAAACCCTGTTACCTTTCCTATTCTCTGAGTAAACAGAAAATTCAAAGCTACCTAAAACCTATCTCCAAGTTTTCAGCATCTAGATTCATATGCCAGTTATGGGTATACAGGAGAGGAAGAAGGCTACAATTATTTTAAAGTCAACAGGATCAGAGCATCATCTTCCCAAATTCATCAAATGTAGGTGTTTTAAAAACTTCTACTGCTATGGCGTTATTTGCTTCCTTGAATTTCTTATACAGGAGTTCCTGACCTTGAGTCATTTTTGTGAGACTGAAACCAACCTTGTGCAAGTTCATCATTCTCAGACCATGCCTGTAGCTGCCTACCAGCACCTTGCCTTGTAGGACACCAGGGCTTCTGGCAGTGAGAAGGGTCAGCTCCTTATTTCTGCTTCCGGTAGCTCATAGTTTCTTGCCAGACTGAACATTTCTGCCCAGCTTCAAATTTCTAAGGGAAAAAATTTTAAGAAGCTGAAATAAAAGCAAAATAGGATGGGAATATGAAAACAACATTTCTGAGCCCTGCTGAGTTCCAACAGCAACACAAAACTATTCCGTTTATATATTTAGCTAAATAAATCCTGGCATCACCACTAGTATGTTTCCTCTTATTGCGGGGGTTTCTTTTGACTTGTGTTGGGACAAATACAAGACGAATGAGAATGAGGGACAGATGTCAGTTCTGTAAGTGCCAGTGGGAACTGGAAACTCCCTTCATCAGCTGCTTTCAGAGTGTTCAAACCTGACCAAGACCATTTAGCTGGAGCAGGAATGCTGACAGAGACCAGCTGATGGACCCCAGCTTCAACCTGCAGTTCCTCTTGGCCATCCCAAAACTGGAATCTGAAATAGGAGGGTTAATCCATCCCAGTGCTTCTCTTCAGGGAGGCTTGGTCGCCAGGGTCCCATGCCTTTGCCACTTCTCCTCAGCCCTCCTGAGTAGCATCACCCTCACTGCTGCAGCCACTGACCTCAGTTCAGCAAGGCGCTGCTGGCTGATTTTGTGTTGAGGAGAGGAAAGCACTCCTCACGCCTGCACCATCCCTCTGGAGATGCACAGCTGAGCCCACGAACTCACCGTGTACCAGCATCAGCCATGGAGCCGCCCGTCTCCTCTCAGACAGGGATTGCTGCTGCCCGTGGCTTGTCCTTTCCCCGCTTCTCTCTCCCTCCCAGCTTTTGCATTTCCTCCGCCGTGATCCATTAGGTATTTACCGGCAGGGCAATGTGACTTTTCACACCGGTTCTCTGTGTGCGCTGCCCTGCAGACTGGGCTGGATAAAGCTCTCCCCAACCCCAGCTGCTGGACATCTCCCCCCCACCTTCCCCTCCCCTTCACACTGGCCAAGCCAAGGATTCCTCTCTCCCTCCCTCTTTCTTTTTCCACCCCTCCCGCCTTCAGTGCAAACCCAAGACGCAGGATCCTGCCGAGGGAAAGTGCTCCTTGAAATCATCACGGCAGACCCCGCTACGAAAGTGCAGAGGAGGAGAGAGAAAAAGCCTCGGCAGTCAACCTCCTGCAGCTGAGGGCTTTGGAAGCAGGGCAATGGCTCCAGGCTCTCAGAGATTCTCTCTCACCTTTCTCCAGGGCGTGGGATCTGTCTTTTTCTTACTTCAGATCATCTCTGTTCAGGCTGATGGTGAGTGTCCCATTCAGTTTGGGCTGGGTTGCTATGGCTGGAATGAGGGCTGTATGTTGAAATGTGTTATTGGAAAAGGGAAAAAAAAAAAAACCCAAAACCACTTTTTTTTTTTTTTTTTTTTTTTTTTTTAAATAAGAGTCTTAAATACACACCCCAGTTTGCATTAGTAAACCTCTGATTCAGAGCTTTTTGAGACTTTACAAATATCCTGAGGTTAAGCAGAGAAAGGAAATAAGATCCCAGAAGGCTCAGATTATTTTATTACAACAGAATGACAGGATAGTGAACTTTTCCAGAGGAAATAAGAATAATGAAACAAAGCCAGAACACGACTAAGAAGACTCAGCTATATTTTAGGAGACCTCTCCTTCTAATCTTTTCTCCAAAGAACTTTCCCATCTCCCCACTTCAGATGTGCCACTTTATACGGGTAGGTACTTGAGGAAGGAAATCCAAGAAGTGAAAGACTTTGATAACCTCTTCTGTTCAGTGCCACACACGCTGAAAATGACTGCTCACCTTTCTGCACATGAGCTTCATCTGCACTTCACTGCTGAGGGATGTGATCAGGACATGGATTTGGCTGAAGCACCAGCTACCAGTTACTCTGAAATGGGATTTTTTACTCACTGATGGTGATCCTGAAAAGCTGCTTGACAGTTTCCAGTAGCCTAACACCCTTTTAATGATTCAGCTTGTGATAATGATGACCAACTTGTCTAAACCAAATCACTTACTTTTGAAACAACTGTATGTTTTCCTGGGAGAGCAATGCTGAATGGTCACGTCTTTCCACTTTCACAGCTGCGATAGATTTATGCCCAATCTCAGGATTTTTTAATTCCAGCACCCTAATCCTTTACCATTGATGTTTGCTGCATTATTCCAGAGAACAGAATTCAAACATTATAGGCAATAAAAATCTCTTCTTTTTTGTTCTCACAGTATTTTTCTTGTTTAACTTAAATTTCTTTCAGTTGATGACAAAATAAGGCAAAGGAAGGGGAGAAAATTAATCTTGCCTGTATGTTTCCACAGCTTTGAGTAGAATGTATAAATGTATACCACTTATACAACAGAACCCTTTTCTTGTAAAGTTTAAGGAGAGTTACATTTCATTAAGCATAAAGGAAAAGAAATATGTCAGACAACTGCACTACATTGCAGTAGGCAAAACTGTGATTCTGTTTTTAGGATGTAATCTTTCCTTAGCAAAATGCCTTTGAAATGAGAAGGGAGGGGGGGAGAAGCATATCCATGAAAAAGGACTCTTTGCAGAACTTAAGGACACAGGGCAGGAATAATAATTTTCCTTGCTAAGAATGCTTCACTTGAAGATCCCCTTGTTTTTTTCAGGGGCACATTCCAATTTTTATTATTTTCATAAAATTAACAAAACTAACTTTTTGATTCCTAAACAGGCATCTTCTAAAAGAGAAAGGGTAAAATTGTTGGAGATCATTTTAAGGCAGAGGTCATGACAGATTTTAATTGTCGTTCAACAGTTCGTCAAATTTACTTCACATGAGGTAAAACATTTATAGAATGAAAGGACAGAATATCTGAAGTACTTTACAGTTGTCAAGAATTATTATAATAATGTGGTTTGCAATTTCATTTAAATTCTAGGTAGCATTGTGAAAGATGTGTAAGTCTGCTATTAACTTGATTTTCAGTGGGTTCTCCTAATATTAATATTTGAGCACACAACTGTAACGCTGTCCTACAAGCCATCTGGGTTTAAAACACAAAAAACACTGTATGTCAGCTTTAAAATTTACTGCTATGTATTTAAGAAGATCTGAGAGTATGAAACAGGATTAATGCTTTCTTTTATAGCAAATTCTTGTCTGATCCAGTCAGAAACCACCTTCTCATTTTTTAAGGTGTGGGTCAAAATGTAACGGTGCTAGTTTCTAGTACATGTAAATGTCACTTAGGTGCCAAAGGACCATTTGTAGTGACACATACGTGTTTGTGTATCTGTCATTTTTAACTGACTGTCTTGCAGACTGCTAAAGGGATTTCAAATATGTCTTGTAAAAAACCTGTGAAATTCAGACTGGCCCCTGTTACAGTCAAACCTCTGAAACTGGTTGCAATGTATTTCCCTAAGGAAGACTTTCACTTTATTATCTCACACAAAAATAATGACAGAGAGTAGGCAATAAAACTCATGGCCGTTGAGGTCTGGTGAAGGCGTAAAACTTTGGAGCTTAATTGATCTCTTTTGACCATTATTTACCATGGCACATATTGCTGTAGCACAAAATAGGCTGCAGAAATATCCAGGCAAATGCAGAAATAAAATATAGCTCATTTCGCTTTGCAGCTTTTTTTTCCAATTGAAATCTGCTTGCTCAAAGCTGTTCAGGTCCAGGTCAGACGGACAGAAGACTCCCCAAGGGCTTGTTCATGCTCTGAGGTACCATGGTGTGCCACTGCCAGTGTAGTTACTGGAGAATAATATGTGTTATTGTGGCAGTTCTCAATTGTATCAGTGTAAATTCAGGGGTTTAATTTGGGGTTTAAATTGTTTTCCATTTGCACTGGAATAGGAGAACAAGGATGTGACCTCCTGAATCCTGCACAGGAGTTGCTGCCACTATTTTTTGCCTCCCTCTTTTGTTTTTCCAAGGCTTCTAAAATATCCACACATATGAACTGTAGTTTTCTGTAGAGTACTTGCTCTGAGACAGAGCACGTCAAGAGAGGGTGATGGCGATGCATCTACCGTACTGAGACACCCCTGAAATGAAAAATGTGCTAATTTCAAAGCATTACTAATTGTGCCAAATTGGAGCTGGCCTGTTGGCTAAATTTGGATCACATGAAGCCCTGTTGGTCAAGCCAGTCATCAGCAGTGCCCATGTGTAGTTCCTGCAGAGGTTGCAGGTGAAAGGATCCAGAGTCCATGAAGCTGGGCACAGATAGGATCTGAGAGACATGCCTCTAACTAGAAACTGATGACATCCAAAGTAAGGAAACCCCCCTCCTAAAGAAATTCATTTGGCTTGTTTTGCATCTTTTTTTTTTCTTTTTTTTTCTTTTTTTTTTTTAAGTTAAGCTAAAAAATGTATGTTCTTTTCTGCTCTCTCTCGACGCTCACATTTCTGTAGCAGGTGTCTACGCATTTCATTCTCCTGGTTGCAAAATAACACACATTCATGTGTGAACAATTCCAACTATTTGATCCTAAAGTGTCCAGTAAAATCAAAATTTAGGCTCAAGCTGAGTTTAGCCAGGGGGGAACTCAAAGATGACATTTTGATTTTACTATTTTTCTGATGATACAATATTTTTATTAATTGAATAAGACATCATTCACTGTTGTTTCTCACAGAAATAGACTACACATTTGTGAACATTAAGTAGAACAGGTAATTAGCCAAATCTCTGTCTGCAGTTGTAGAGTTACTGGATCTTCCACCTTTATACTCACAATCAAGATACATTGTTACACACATCCATAGAAATGAAAATTAAATTTCGCTCGAAATATGGAAGAGACCTTTCTTTCCTCTGCTCTGTTTTACCTCAATTTGAATTTTTTAATATTCAAGTAAAAATGTATTGGACTCCACATTTGCACATCTTTCACCAAATTTGTTTTGTTGAAACTGATTAAGTTTTATTCTTTGAAATAGGAAGTGTCATGTCGTGAGGTCAGCATAGTGGGCATGCTTTTTAAAGTGCTTTCATTTTATATTATTTTTGAGAGACGTTCTTACCTTAAGGTATATTTGACTATTCAGTTTTATGTTCCTTCTTCAAGCATGATGCAAATCCTGATGAAGACATGGAGAAATTTGAACTCATTTCAGTGGGCTTTGAACTGTGCCTATGCACCTCAGAAGAACTTCTTTTTGTATCTGTTACTGTAAAAGAATACATCAGCCAAACTCTTTTCTTGATAACCAATAGAATTCTGTTAAACCCATTGATTTTCTGTAAAATATGAAGAAACAGCTTTTGGACTGGTTTTATTTTTGAATAACATCTTTTTTGCACTTCCATATATCTGATTGTACATGTCTCTTAAGTCTTGAAAGCATTATGAGGATCAGTTGTTAGAAGCTGAATTTAGCAATATTTGGAGCTGGAAATAAGGTGGAGTGAGAGTAATGAACCATTGGAACAGTTTACTATAAAGTGTGCTGTAAATTCTCCATTACTTGGAGGCATTGAATCATGACTGGATGCATGTTGAAAAGACATGCTCTAGTTCAACCATGAAATTTTGGACTTGGTGGAATTACAAGGGGAAATCTACAGTCTAGTAAGGCAGGAATTGAATAAAGTGATAAAAATGATTCCTAGAAGCCCTGAGATCTACATCTCTGTGGATATGTTTTCAATTAGAATACAGTGGGCTACTCTTAAGTAAAAATTATATTAATGTATTGCAAAAAAAAATAACTAAAACATTCTCAATAAATCAAAATATAATCAATATTTTGTAATAATAGTGATCAGATAATGGCAGAGGGTAGCAATCTAATATATGCTATATAGTTATCAAAAAGGAAATCTCTTTTGTTTCAAGCTAGAATTTTTCATGTGAACTATGAATCCCACTGACAAATAGAGGTTGGAAGAATGATGTCTTATTATTTATGCCTCATCGTTGAAGTTAAAAGCTTTATCACTTGTTTCAAATGGGAATCTAAAAGAATCTTACTGTGACAAAGATCTTTTTCATTCTGGACCTGCTAAACTCAACATGTTCAGTAAGCGTCCTGAGAAATACTACTTTGCATGGATTTTTAGCTTGACCTTTGAATCAAAGGGACTTGATTTCTTTAGAAAAGCTTCAGCAAATTGTGTAGAGTTTTGGTAACAAATTTCCACACACCTGTGGAGGTGGAAGCATTATGGGAAACAAATGTTACAGGGCAGAAAGGAAGTGACAGAGTTGTGAGGGAGCAGAGACATGGTGGCTGCTCAAAGGTACCACAACCAAAGGCATTCTACATTCTTCATGTAGACATAATCCTTCATCCTGTGTCTTATGGAAACACAGAACAGTCTCACATTTAAAACAGAATGACAATACATCTCTTAATACTCTCTCAGAGATAAGAGTGATTTCAACCACCCCAATATAAAAAAAATGACTGCTGTGTCATCAAGTATAAGAGACATTCCTTTTTTAAGAAACATCTCATTACAGATAAGTAATAGTAGGACAGATAAAAATGTCACAAATAATTAGTCGGGATTCCCTTAGACTGAAAATGATACCACTTTTGAGACTCAAAGTGAGAAAAATTCAATATATCCATATCTTGAGTATGTTAGCCATGACGTTGTAAGGTGCAGAATTTAATGCTGCATTCTTTTTGTTTAAGGGGATTTCCTGTTTTCATGTGGGTTTGTGTTTTTCCTGTTGCTGTGCTAGCCTGTCTCCTGTATTTTTTCCCTGTCAATGCCCCTCAGTAATGGGACGCATCTCAGGATACTGAGGATTCCGCTATTCCATTGCTCCAGCATCTGATAAGTGAGCTTTTCTTGCTATTATATTTTCTAAGTAAGAAATTAGACAAAATCAGAGAGCACATCTTGAAAACTGGGCAGATAGCCACAGAGCTTCTGAAACTTAGAAGAAAATTCACAGGTTGGTCTGGTAAACAGATTATCTTTCTTTACCCACTTCTAACCAAATTCTGGGTAACCAGAATTTCCTATAAAGTAGTTCACTGTGACTTCCCAACCAGTAAGTCTTTCCTAGCTCACCTTATAATTCACTTGTTTATACAATTTGATCATCCCAGATACCTTTTCAAAGGACAAGACTCTGTGTTGACAGCATCTTCATAGTTTCTAGTAAAAAGTTAGTGTATCTTAAGTACTAGCAAACAACATAACAGCAGTCAAGGGAAGCTGTCAGCCTCTATCTTGGACAGGCTAAAAATGTAACACTTTAAACATGTAAGTCTTGCATACTGGTAAAACAACTAAATCATTAACTAATTATATCTAGATGGAACTAAAAGCTTGACCATTTTCCTTTTTTAAGGCTTCTAATTGAAATACTATTAGCTAGAAAATAAGGTTTATACCATGTCAAAATAGCATTCACAATTTAAGTTAGATGTTATGCAAACGTGTCCTACATGTTTTTGATGATGCACCTCAATCCTAACAGTCTAATGGTAAAATGTAGAATGTGGACAAGTTTTTAGTTGGGACAAAGCCTTGTAAATCATTACACTTAATCCCTGTTTTCCTTCAGGTGCAAAAGTTGTTTTGCCACTTAAAAATGGCTGTTCAAAACCATCGTCTCTCTGTTTATACTGTCCCCCTCCCTAGGCCATGCACACTTCACTGTGTCTGTCGAGGCTTTGGCAAAAGGAGCTTCATTAGTGTCATGTGCATTATGTGGGACATGTTGCAAAGAATCCTGATGTTTGTGTACTCAGGGATGTAGAGTCTTGCTGCTTTCACTACTTTGTGTGAAACCCCTCATTCTAATTACAGTTAATGGTTTTGATTACAGTGGAGAGTCCAAAGATAATGTAACCTAGTGGTTATCACACTGACTAGTGTTTCTGATTGTATTCCTTGGTCAGCTACTGCTAAATGCCTTAGGAAAATTGCTCTGGGTACTCTGAATTTCTGTTCCTTCTCATAGCTGCTTGTCCTGCTTATTTAAATTGCCATTTTCCCAAGTCAGGATGGCTTCCTGCTGTGCACATGTAGAATTCCCACCAAGGTAGGAGTCTTCATTAGGACCCATCTACCCTTGTTAGCTAATGTAAACACAAATTACATGTTTGCTTGAGGGAAACTACATTTTTTAATGTAAGAACGGTGATTCTTCTAGTGGGTGTAGTTGCGCACAGGTGAGAACAGAAAGCTGTCGGGAGCAGACCTACCCTGTGTATGTTCCCTTTATTTAGGATTAGAATCAGATTTACCAATTTGTTGAAAGAGTATGTGGTGAGAGTAGCACTTGGTACAGAACCAGGCTGAATCAGTCTGAAGAATTCCCAGTACTGGTCAATATCTCCTATGAGTGAGAAGCTGGCCACATAGCAAACACTTGGTATGTGCTGGAAGTTATGCATTCATATAACCACTACCACAAATCCCCTTTGGAAATAAGACATAAATAAGAGTTTCCAGGCATTTACTGAACAAGTGGTGCTTAAAAATTTTCTTCCTGCAACTGCAAGCAATGTCAGCCGGTACCTTTGAAATCTAGAAGGTATTCTGAGGGATGTTATCATCAGAAAAAAATATAGTTATGCCAACTTAAATGTCAGCTGCAAAGTGTCTCTTTGTTTATTTCATTTACTGGATCACTCAGCTAATATGCTTATTCCATAACCCAGTAACTCCTCAAACTTCATTGCCAAAACCCCAACTGACCTGTTCCCAGTTGCCAAAACCTCTAACTTTCACCCTTTCAGCTTTTCTGGTGTTAGATAAATTAAAGTAAAATAAACTGAACTGAAAATAAAAATAACACAAAAAATAAGTTGTGCTAAATATGTTCTCATGCTCATTAAAAAAAAATAAATAAAAAGCCTTCCATTAATAAAAAATTCTTTCTTTCCAAAATGAAGCAGTCTGCATTTAGACACCAGATGTCATGGAATGACATAATTTTGATTTTAGAGACTAAGTAGAAATCTATTTCTGGTGTGGAAGGTAGGGCTGCAATACTGGCTTTCAAGCACATGCTTACTTTATGGATGTAGCTGTTATAAAGTAACTGTAAAATGTTTAGTAATGGATTCCAGTGTTAGTAGCCTACAGGAGCTGTTCTTTGAGATTTTGACTTTATACATACATATGAGAGAGTATCATGCTTTATCTCTCCAGATCTGAAGCACAGACCTACAGAGGCAAGACAAGGTTCCCCTCTGAGTTAGGAATGACTGAATGGCTTAGCCATTCTTGCTTTTCCTGTGGTGGACAAAATTAAAAGAAAAGCTAACACAAGGATACTTACAGTCCTGATTAAATTAGGCTGTCCAAAAAAAGAAAAAGGTGGGCCAATAAAATAAACTTAGTAAAAGCATGAAGGCTTTATTTGGTGATAATTTGCAATATTTCTGTTGAATATGTATTGAGTACAATCCCATGATGGATGACATGTCCTTTCTTGGTGTTGCAGGGAAAGTGTTTGCACTTGAGTCCAAGAACAACTCTCAGGGCCTGGATTTAGCCGAAGCTGAGAAAGCTTGTGTTGACCTGAGTGCTCGCTTAGCAACTGCAGAAGAACTGAAAAGGGCTGTTCTGGACTGTTCTTTTGCTGGCTGCACCACAGGATGGCTCGCCAGTGGCTCTGCTGGGTAAGGACAGCAGCATAACTCTTTCTGGGAAGTATGAATGATGGTTGTCAAGCAAGTTTTCCACCTTGACTAAGATTTGCTGAAAAACACTGGCCACAATTCAATCACCATGACATACAGCTAAATTGGCCACTCTCCCTCAAGAATTAGTTTTTTACAGCTAATATTGCAGGTACACAATTATTCATCAGTCTCACATTATGATTTCACAGATTTGATGCAATTACCTCTTCTTCTTTCCTGCTGAATTACATCATTGTGGCTCCTGTTCCCTTGGCCTATAGTGGGGTGCTGAGCCTTAAAGAGCCTTGCAGGACACATGTCCTTGCTGAGGACACAGTGCTGGAGTTGGTGTCAGTGCTCCCACTGACTCTGTTATTCTCCAGTCCTCCAGAAGCTCAGCAAACAAAACTTCTCATGGGAACCACGTGTCTGTCTAAGATATCGATGCATGGCTGAGCAGACCTGTTCAAAAGGACACAGATGCACTTAGATATGATAACCCACATGTGCTAGAGTGTTTGTTGGCGAAGCCCACCAGGGAACTGGTGTTGTCCCTCAATGTGTTTGAGGTAGTCGGGTGACTTGACATGGCACCAAGCTGAGCTTTTCTTTGCACAAAGCATTGTTACCTCTGTAGAGCCTAACTTAAAGCAGGATTGTAAATGGAGGTGTTGAGGGAATGTCTGATGTCACTGAAGCTGGGACCATACAGAAATTGCCCAGAAGGAGTATATCAAAACTATTTTCAATGCTTGATGGGGATAAAGTTTTGTTTTATGAAAAAATTATTTCCAAACTTCAGCCTATTATTAGATTTTGTAACAGTTGCCAGTTTTTTAGGTAAGCATTGGTGTTTCTGTATTTTTAGTAATAAAATTTCCAAAGGACAGAAAATTACTACTATTAATGAAACATTATATTTAAACTATTTCAAGGAAAAACAGCCAAGGATAAAAGACAGTGATTAAGACCCCAAAAATCTTCTTCCTAAGACAGTTGCTGAGATGTCTTGCAGGCTGACGAGCCAGGAAAACTCTACAACTGTAAGAACTCCGTGGCAAAGTTGTTCTTCAGGGTCTTTTATACAACTTCTGTATTCTGGAAGTGAAGAATCATGATGGGCCGGAGAAAAAAATCGTAGCTTGTTTTATCTAAACAATATCACTAGTTAGTCCAATCACATCCTCAATTAATTGCTATGGGCACTGGAGCTGTTACTATTAATAGATTAGCTGTGGACTGAATATCTTCAATACCAAAACTGTGAAAAAAACATTGTGATAAAAACACACTGTAAGCATGGGAAGGAAATGGAGACTTTTCATCCCTTCTAACCTGATGTACTGCTTTCCTCCAATAAACCTGTCCTTAGTATGGAAGTCTCTAAACTATTTATCAGAAAGAACTTTGTGGGGGCATATCAGCACACCATTGCTGCGCAGTCACCAGATCTGACCTTCACTGGAAAGCCTCACCCGAGAGAAAAGTTCTTCAGAGCTGGAATTTTATACCCTGGAGCTATTTTACCCGTGGTTGGGCAAGCACCAGAAAGTATGTTTCTTGTTTCATTGAACTGGGTATTTGTGGCTCTGGGGAAAAATAGGAATTGTATACTGCCTAAAAAGGCTAATCTGTTTCAACTGTAAGTTAATGCAGCTCTGGAGAAAGAACTGAGCTCTTGAGTGCAAAGTGTGCAAATGGGACAAAGTTGTTTAAGTTGAGCAAGTTCAGCTCCAATATAGAGATTTACAGAGAAATTTAGATGAAAGGGTAAAATGATGCCAAAAGGAGTTCAATGAAAATACATGCAGGAGAAACATGCAATCTACTTGAAAATATCTTTTCAGGGTCTGATTTACCTCCCTCAGGCCAGGAAAGATATGAGGACATAGCTATGGACAGCACAAAGAAAACCTTTGTCAGACTGCAGCTGTAGTAAAAACAGACAAACAAACAAACAAATGTTCAAGCAAACAAAGAAGTTGCTAGAGTGTTCATGGAATGGGATGAAGAATATGAAAAAAATATATGTGCAGGTCAGTGTAATAGTTGTGGGTTTTGTTTTTTTTTTTTGGAATACTATGTGTACTGTTACTGCATCTTGGGAAAGGTACTAAAAATGTCTCCAAAAAGGGCTCAAAAATGATTAAAGTAATAGAAAATCTATTAACAAGGGACTCCAATTATTTTACTAAATTAGTTATTTATTTTTTAAAATTTACCGATTCAAAACTTTGGGCATTTACTTGATAACTGGAAACATGACAGCAGGGATAAAGGATAGCTGGTACAGAGAAAAACCTCTCCACTTCAGTTGATATAACCCAGAGAAGGGAAATCAGGCTTCACAGCATGTCCACAAGTTAGAGAAGTATGGAAAATTATGTCCAAAAGAAAGGACTCTTTGCTGCGCACACCTTGTGTATTTATCTTGACGAAGCTCCACATCTTTGAATGATAGGTGACCTCCCCACATCTGCCAGGTCCAGAGCTGTTCAGGACTTTGTAAGTTGGATCTAAAACCTTGGAATCCTCCCAGCAGCTAACTGGCATCCAATACAGATCACAGAGCTTTAGTCGAAAACTGTCCTGTATCCTCTTGGACTGTGTACATCAGAAAGGAGACAAATAGGAGGGAGCATGATAAAAGTTCCTAATTTCAGGAAGAATGAGGTTTGGTTTATTTATTTGGTGCCTGGAAGGTATCCCAATCTTTCCCCTGAGGAAAAATGGGTTAGACATTGGCAGTAGAAGTAAACACAAACAAATGATGTGATTGAAGTCGTTATTACAGTGTTGCAGATTTTCTGCACTTAGATTTAAAACTGAACCTTTCGCCACTTAGATTTAAAACTGAACAGGAGCTCTAGCAGACATGTAAGGACTTTTTCACTGCTAGATCCATTCTCCAGGTTTTGCACAAGTCTGTGATTTGTTCACTTCTGATAGCTATTTATGGTTTAGTGGGTTTTAGTGAGTAATTACAATCCCACTCCTGGTAAATATATCCATCACTGTTGATTATTTTGTCCTTATTATTATTTTTACAGCCAAATCATAGCCTGGAAACCTGTGGAGTTTCTCCTGTTGTGGCAGAGGCACTTCACTGAGTCAGTGTGAGCATGTTTATACTGCCTGCTCTCTGGGCTATACCTCTTCTATGGGCAAAGAGGACCATTTGGACTAAAGAGCCAGCCCAGTTTGGGTGACTGTCAAATTTCTGATGACTCTCATGCAAATGCATGTCATCCATATTTAAATATGCCCACTTCAGTCCCTGCAGTCTAGTTCAAGCAGCAGGTCTTGATGAATATGAATCATTTCAACTGATGCAGAATGGAAATTGCTTAAACAAATAGATCTCTGCCAGTAAATCCAAAGGCACAATAAACTGGGTGGTTTTGTGGTTTGAACAGCCTGAAACAGAACTTCTTTCACAGGAATAAGGAGATGTTCTTGTCTTTCCCTTGCAGTTGTTCGGGCCAACCCAATTCAGGGTTCAGGCTCTTCACACAGACACGTCCCTGACAGTCCAGGGACTTGGGAACTTTTTGAGAAGAGCCACTGACAAGTAGGTAGGGATAACTTCTCCCAGCAAGCCGTTTACAAGTCAGTCCTGACATGTGTAACTCATAAAGCATTACACATTGTTGCATTTCAGGAAATGAAACGTCGTTAGGCAAGTCTCATTTGTCAGATGAGCCCTAATAGCTATTTATACTAAAAATGACACTCTTATGACTTACTTGCATGTCAGACAAGTGAGTCAGTAAAACCATCAAGTGATCTGCCAGAATATAAATGAAAAAAAGGTGGCAGAGTTCTGAAAGGCTCTCACTGCTATCTTTTGAATTCAGATGTCACGCTGGAAAACTTTGTGTTGAGTCTTCCAACACTAGACAGCATGTCCTCTAGTGTCTTGTCTTCTTTTCTGGGGTTTTTGAAATTTAGGAAGTGAACATGACATAATTGGTATGAATATCAACCCCGTGCAAACAGCTATTTATTTTAGAAATTGTTAAACATCCTCAACACCTTGTATTAATATCCCCATAGCAAATTTACTCATTTCCAGTGCTTTTGTAAGATGGAAAAGCTGAAGCTGTCCTATTCCCTATCCTGTTCCTCATTTGCCTGTAAAGACATGGAGCCATGTGTCTCTTCTATAACAGCTTTGAAGCCCTGCATAGAATTTTTCTTCTATGACAGACTTCCTGCAGGGCTGTCAACCTGCTCCTTTATGTGAAATTGCCCTGGGCTGGTTCCTACGCAGCCCCTGGAGGATTTATTCCAGAGGGGATAAGTCTGGAGTGAGCAAGCAGAGTCAGCTAGAATAAGCTCTGCTGTGAGAGTCAGAAGACAGGGTTTCTTTTCTTGGCTGACCACAGACCAGGTGTTTGTTGCTAGGAAAATTACTTTGTCTCTATTTTTCCTTCCTTTTGTTAGCTCTTTGGGTTTTGCACTGGCTGCTTTTGAATGTTTCTACAGTGTCAAACACAACAGGGCCCTCCCTGCAAATGACACCAGTGGGAAACGTAATAATAAGACTCAAATATGACATTTCACAATACTACCTACTTCTTTTTCTGCTTGCTGCATGGGACTTGCCCAGTACCTGACAGTATGATAATTAAAGTACATTTCCTGGGAAAGAAAAAAAGGAACATCCAAGGAATGAAATGAAGGGTCAGTTGCTAACCCTTGCCAGTCCTCTCATCTGTATTGGTAAAGCCTTGGGCTTATGGGTCCCTTGAAATTCATCCAGGTGTGCATGCTAGAACAGGCCCTCTAGCTCTTTGCAGGGAAGCCGTTCTGGTGATACATCACTTTGGCAAGCTCTTGGTTTTATTTCAAGGCTGTGCTCTGCTGACTGGTGATAATGTACATGAATTTGCTCCCAGACATGTATTTGAGGCAGGTCAAGTAATTCCCTTCAAGAGACAAATCCAGACATAACTGACAGGACATAGTCCAATTCAAAATGCTGAAGTTGCTTA